CAGGGGTCCGCCAACTGTGCCAACGGCATCTTTCTTCTTTAACTTCACGCTCCCGCCGCCGCCGCTGCTGCCTCCTGCCGCCCCTCAGGAACACCACTGAGACATAGGATCCCTCTTCTTTTTCCCTCCTCCCCGGCAAGAGGAGGAGACTGCCGGAAACACGGCTTCTATCCCTCCGGATGAGGCAAGGGTACCCACGCCGGCGTAGGAACAAGCGTTCAGCTGGAAGCCTCTGCCGCTCAGTAAATCTAACCTCAGCGCCTGACTTGTCCCGCGGCAGGGGCTATTACTCACTCCACTTCCGCTCCCAACATGGCCGCGTCCGAGCCGTACCTGCCTGTCAAACGGAGGTTGACTGCGTCATTCCCGAGGGCGGGACTGACTCAGCCAATCAGTTGCCGTCTCAGGTAGTAAGGGGACCGACTCACGGCGGTGGGATCTTTTCACGGAGGGGAGGGGGCGCGAGAGTAGGCTTGTTGTGGGGGACTCCGGATACGTGAAGGTTCCGTCACGTACTCGAGCGAGATACGCTGCAGGTACGACTGCTGTCCTCTGCTGCCTTTACCAAAGGCGCGTCATCGCTCGCACTTCTCGGAATGCGGTAGTCTGCGCGTGAGGTCACAATCGTTCTTTCCCCCCGCGGCCACTTCCCCTGAGCGGCGGTAACCTGATCCGGCATAATTGCCACCCCCTTAAAGGATGGCGGCAAAAACCGCGGTTGAGGATTCTTCAGAACGTAATTACAGTAGTCCTCTCCTTGCGTTTGCTTAACAACCTTTAGTAAATCGGGGCACTTTTGAAATGTCCCGTTACACAGTTTTTAACTTGGCTGGAAGGCAGTCGTTCCCTCGCGACTCTGTAAGCAGGAATTGCAGCGCCCGTTACGACTTGTTGCTCCTTTTAATGATTTTTCCCCCTTTCTTTTTCCTTTATTTAAATTTTGTTAGAGATGGTAAAATATCGTCTTCATCTGTAAATGCTGCAGATCGTTCGTGTTTCTTGGTTCATAATTAATATGTTTCTGAAGAAATATATACAACTGGAATTAAAACTAAGTGCAATTCTGAGAAATATTTCATTTTCAGAAAGAGAATTGCTTATTTCCAAGGAAATGATCTCAGAATTGCACTGAAAGCCGCTAATGCTGAAGACAGAGCTTTCTTCCAGTAACCTGTTTAGAATTTATATGATTGCAGCTGTGCTTATGTATTGCATTTATATTCTTTTTTTCCAGGAGCAAAAGTTGGTAGATGTAGGTCCTCCCCATGTTACCCTCACAACAATCCTGTATTGTAAGTTGGACTGAAAGACAGCAACTGATTTTCACATCAATTGTGCAAATTTAAATCTTAATCTTCCCTATCCTTATTAACATTCTAATCACTGTTTTATTTCCAGTGACAAGAGTCCTACCAAAAACTAATAGTTAAAATTATTTTTTTCAGAAAAGAAACTACAATTGTGCTATTTTTTGAAACATGCTTACTACAATCTATACTTCAGAAGATTTTGACCAAATAATACAACATTCTACAGTATTGTCAAAGTTCACCTGAGCTTTTAAAGAAGATTCTGTTGCTTGTTAGTGTTTGGGGATAAACTCCTCCCCTTTTTAATTTACATAAACATAATTTGGATTATTATGTTTGGATTAATGTTTGGATCATGTTTGGATTATGGAAGCAGTTTGTTTCTTCTGGTGTGTTGTGTATTGTGAAAAAGAAAGTTTACTGTCAATCCATTTATATGGACCTCAGCTATATTTAAATCAAGTTTGACTTTCAGAGAGATTGTGACAAGTGTTAAACTGAAAAGGTTACATCAGCAGGGGGCATTACATCAGTTCTTACCCTGTTTTTTATCTGAGTTAAACTCAAAGTAAATGAACTTTGTCAAGTATAATTATTTAAGAAGTTTGTGATAGAAGGGGGAACATGAGTTCATGAGGCATATGTGCATGACTTTTTTTTTTAATGAACACTGCTCATGAAGAGTATAAAAATAGGGATCAACTATGATATCTTATTTACAATTTACACAGTCATTTTAGCATGTGAGTGGCTTCCTCTGTTCTTGGCTCCTTGAAGTATAATTGACATCCACCAGGAATTTAGAATTTCTGCCAGGATGTTCTGATGTAATTTTGAGAATGTGGATGTGGGCGGGATTGTTCAGCCACAAATGGGAGAGTTAGAATAAAGGTCATTTGAATAAACAAGGCTGTTCTACTCTCATTACTCATTTGGGAAAAACGTGAGGTACTATGTTATATTAAAGTGGTTGTAAATTCCTTAAATTCCAGAATAAATGTGACCCATCTATTTTATTTTGCTTGAATGGGGATTAATTCTTTGTGTTTGGATGTCACAGAGTTTCAGAAGACCAGATAAATAGAATAGGAATGGATATTCTTTGATAGTTGAGAAGACACAATGTTTTTGTAGAGGATTAACTGGCTGATGATACATAGGGGTCACATAAGTGGTAAGGCCAAGATTTTTTTGTGTTTTCCCAAATGTGGGGAATCGGGTTGGATTTGTTTGCATTTTAAGTCACATTTAGACTTTTATGTCATTTAGATTGCCATTTTTCTTGGTTTCCTGTCTCAAAATGGTAGAAAATTATATTCCTTTCTTTGACAAATGTGCTACCAGAATTTAGCACTGCAGGAAGAACGTTCCATGGGCTGCAATAAAGAAGCAGGTCAAGAATACCTGGAATCCTATGATCTCAGTTTGTTTTAGAACAGGGCAATGTTTGAGGGGTTGGGGTCTTTGCAACATGTAAAGGGCCATAGGAAGCTGCATAGTGATGTGACGTCATAAAGAATGGGGAAGCCATGCAACTTAATTTTTTTTAGGTTTTTTTTGGGGGGGAGTATTAATGGGAGCAGACCATCTCTGGAAGGCAAACCTTTCTCATTCCTACCCATAAACCTTGCCCAGAACTAAAAGCATTGGCTTTTTGGCCAACCTAGGCTGTTTTTCAGGAGGTTTTAAGGATAGGGATTGGAGTGATTTGGCTCCTTTGGACCTCCTGATTCCATCCCTATGCTTTTAAAAAATTGCATTGCCAAAATATAGCTATTTTGCCATGGAATTTCTATAGAATAATCTTGGGAGTGCTGGGGGCAGGGGCACATGGCCATGGCTTACCCACCCCTCTTTTAGAAGTTGTCTAATATTAATAAATTCCCATGTGTATCTCATCTTTCATCTAAGAACATAAATCAGTATAAATTACATGATTCTTTCCCCATCTTTTTTTCCCCCCTCACATGTGGCATACTCTTCATTAAGCTGAAAAGTAAGTTACTGGCTAAATAGCTTTGGATGTGTATATCCTTCTGACTTGTTTTCTATTATGTCCTTTATACATCTTCATAGGAGACATATCCTATAGAGTAAAATTGCCTTTGAATTGAGCTTGACTCCTGGAGACTTACATGAAACATCCATGTATTTTTCTTTGTATGATACAGAAGTGAATTGCCATTTTTCCAGGATGTCTTTTCGATTTCTCTGTTTCTATCAAGTGTGGGAATGAAAGTAACATACATGTGATTTTGTATTTCATAGTTAGTGAATATGTTTTTATTAGAACTTTCTGCAAACTATTTGGTTTTGCTCATTTATGTAAGACATTTCTTGATTTTTTTATTTTTATTTTTTTTGTAGTCACTGTTAGTCAGTGATGAAAAGTGCAAATTTTATCCTTGCTAGCCATATTTTGATCATATTTTAAAAGCAATTTTGTGACCTGGGAGCACCTTCTAATTATTAGTATAGAAAGGAAGTCACAATAGCAGGAAACGTCTCTTTAAAAACCTGAATCACTGGCATGTTTAGACTGATGGTGTTCATCAGTGATGTGCAAACTCTCAACAATTCTAATTGCAGATGGGTCTATTTGTGGAATCAAGAAGCATATAAGCTTGAGTTATATCAGCCACTGTGGAGTTTTGTCCATTTTATTTATTTAAAATGTTAGCAGAGAAACTTTCTGAAACATATCTGTAATGCTTATGAATGGTGGAAAAGAAAGAAGAGTCTAATAACTATGCCTACACCTCTTAACATCCTTAAATATCTAGAATTCATTACCATAATATGAATTCTATATAGCGCTGCCTTTGAAAATTTCAGGTAACGCAAAATACAATGTGAAGATGTTGATTGGAATAGTTAAGTCATAGTGAACCATTATTGTATATATATTCATGCAGGCATATCAGAGCTGTACTTGCTAGCTGCTCTCAGTCCTCTCTTGCTAGTTCTGATGTCTATCTTGACAGAATATCTTTAATAAGGATGAGTGTTACACATATTTACATAAAACTCCATACATAGTTTTAAATCATAGCAAGAGCTTGCATATGTACAGCAAGTTTTCCAATTAGAGGTTTTCCTTAGCATTTGAACTCAAACCTGTTTGGTAACAGGGCAGGATTAGCAGATATGGTGCTCCTTTCTTCACTGTGCAAAATAATGACTGAGCGTGTGGGGAAAATTACATAATACACTGATACTAAAAGAGCTCTAACTTGCTTATGGACAGAATTCCCAAGATGATGTTAATTTCTATTTTTTAATAATAATTCTATTAAACATTATAGGTAAACAGATAAAAACTAAACTACAAAAATAAAAGAATAAAAAGAAAAAATAGAAAGTGCAGAAAAAAATAGAAAAAGAAAGAAGAAAAAGTAAAAATACAGCAAAAGAAAAAAAATATATAAGAAAGTAACTTCCCCCTTTGTCACAAGTATAAACAATTTTAACTACTTATCACCTTCTCTTAAAATACAACAAACAATATCTTCATCCTATATCTCATCTGTTATCTATAAATAGATCCTTACAACCTCATCATTCCGTTGTGGTCAGCAAAAGTCCATTAAGGGTTACCAGAAATAATAAAACATCTATTTTAACCTTGATCAAATAAACACACTTTATATTCCTTCCTTTTACTTTTAACAATCTTGTTCTCTAATCCCTTCAAATAATGTCATAGAGCTTGTTTTCTTTTCATTTTTTCTTTGTCTCTTCTCACAAAATCCTTCAGAACTTTAACAGATCTCTTCTGCAAATCCAATATAAGAAAGTTATCCAAGTCACCTCTTTTGATTTGCCACTTGTAATCCCTTTTAATCATTAAGACATCCGGTTCCATTTGTATATCCAGTGTAACATCTTTTTCCATATCATACTTGTAACTTGTCATTTTTAAATCCATCTCAGATCAGTCTCAGTCTTATCTGGTAAAACTTGTTTCTCTTCCATAACATCTTCTAAAAACAGTCTATCTATAATGGCACTTGTAAGGTTAACTTCTGGATCCATTGCTCACAAATATCCTTGAATATGTCCAGTGTTAAAATATTTTGCACCATTTTGTGCTTGTAAGTTAAATTTAAGTGTTCTTCTCCTTTAATTGTAATCTTTAGTTCCTTCTGGTTCCCTCTAGTGT